GCATCAGATGCAAAATGGTTTTTCTGTAATAATTCCTACATAGTATTTTTATTGTACACAGTTGTAAACTACCATCCTCATGTTTTCTAATACAGGCAAATGAACGCAACATGAATTCACATTCCTAAATGTCTTACTGGGCATTGTTCTAAATGACTGCTGCACTTGTATTTTTCTGAGTGCTGCCATTGGTCATGTTTGCCTAAGACAAGCCACCTTCCAGAGGAGACACTGGAATGTCATACAGAAGCCATGCTTTCTTTATCCCACAACAGTAAAGACACATTCACACAAAACATCTCTAGTGTTTAAAGCAACTTTCTCATCAGAGGGAGAATAAATTAAGAATTACCAGGGGCTAAGCAAATGGAAGGATGTTTAGTCCCAGAAATTCCATGTGTTAGAGATGTACTGCCCACATTTACACTTTTTTTTTTAAAGATTTATTTATTATGTATACAGCATGTATGACTGCAGGCCAGAAGAGGGCATCAGATCTCATTACAGATGGTTGTGAGCCACCATGTGGTTGCTGGGAATTGAACTCAGGACCTCTGGAAGAGCAGTCAGTGCTCTTAACCTCTGAGCCATCTCTCCAGCCCCGACATTTACACTTTTGATGGCATCTGGAGCTTGGGACTCCAAGAGTGATTAGGGCTGAGGGTCTCAGAGCAGGAACACTGATGGCATTCATGGCTTTATAAAATCAAGTATGCACACTCGCCTCGCTTCACCACACCTTCTGGGACATGATGACACAGCAAAGAAGCCCTCAAAGGGTGGGGCAGATCCATACTCTTGGACTTCTAGTCTCCAGAACCATGGACTAAATCAATGGTTCTCAAACTGTGGGTCACAACCCCCGTGGAGGTCACATATCAGATATCCGGCATATCAGATATTTACATTACTATTCATTACAGTAACAAAATCACAGTTATGAAGTAGCAACATAATAATTTTATGATTGGGGGGGGTCACCACAACATGGGAACTGTATTAAAGGGTCTCAGCATTAGGAAGGTCGAGAACCACTGGACTAAATGAACTTCTGTTCTTAGAGCATTCCAGGCATTTCCATGGCAACAGGAAACAGAATCAGACAGTAAGGGATGCTGTGGTGACAGAACTATTCTGTATTGGATTGTATTAATGTCAATACCCTGGTTGTGATGTTATCATGAAGCTTTCTAAGATGTTACTGTTGGAAAAGATGGGTACACCATGAGATTGTGGTATTATTTCTTAGAGGTGCATGTGAATCTACGGTCATCTCAGAATTTCAAATTTAGTTTCAAAAAGAGGAAAAGAATAGAAGAGATGCCTCACATATGGAGAACAGAGCCAGGAGGTATCTGAGTGGTTTAGTCCGGTGAATGAGGAGGAGGTCCATTAATCATGGGCCACCTCTACCATCCCCCTCAGACTGCAGAAATATAGACGCTTCTTGAGGAAATGAGAACAGGAGATGGGGAATGAAAGCTAAACCTGGAACCCCACGACAATAGGAAGGAGACAAGGAGAGAGAACACAGCACATCAGGTTGGAATGATCTACTTTCCCATCTCTGGAGCTTGTGTTAGAGAAAGACTGTGGTGATGTATTGTCTACCCTAATAAACTTGCCTGGGGATCAGAGGACAGAGCCAGCCACTAGATTAGACATAGAGGCCAGACAGTGGTGGCACATAGCTTTAATCCTAGTACTGGGAAACATACATGCTTTTAATCTCAGGAAGTGATGTCTGGGCTGAGAAAGGTATACAAGGTATGAGGAAACAGAAACTCACTCTCTTTAGGCTGAGGATTTCATAGAGGTAAGAACTAGTGGCTGGCTGCTCTGCTTCTCTGATCTTTCTGCTTTCACCCTGATATCTGGCTCTGGGTTGTTTGTTTGTTTGTTTGTTTGTTTACTATAACACCATTTAAGATTCAAACAACATCTGGTGCCCAACATCAACTTTCCCATCTCTGGACTTTGTGCTAGAGAAAGACAATAAAGATGACAGCACAGGGGCCCCTTCCCTTGAGAGTCCTGGAAGATGTCACCAAGCCAAGTGGAACCAGTCAGCTTAGGGCTCAGTGGAGTCAGGGGCACTAGACTGAAGATTCCATTTTTAAACCACCTCCAATTTTTTTTTTATCAACTTTAACATTTGATCAGGGAGGCATCATGGCAAGTAGATCCTAGGAGTTTGGGAGTGTCATTCCGAGACCAAAACCCCAATTCAAGAATCCCAGCTCTTTCCTCTACTGAATTCACGGACTCACACTTGTTGGAAGAACTGAGGGAGAAGGAAGACCTCTCTACTGGCCAGAGCGTGCTGTTGGGGGAGGTGTCCTCATTATACAAGGACCATGCAGACTGTGCCCTTTGGGTGCCCGAGGTCACATGATAAGTGTTTGTTAAAGTGCCATGCTGAGTGAATTGTTATAGGTAATAATGGAACCTGAGAGGGTGATGGTTAGCTTGGAAGAAGTCTCACAATGGACTCTGAGAGGGTGATAGTTAGCATGGGAGAGGCCTGGCATTAGAACATGACAGTGTGATGGTTAGCATGGGAGAGGCCTGGCATTGGAACATGAGAAGGTGATGGTTA